AGAAGTAGAAGTAGGGTCAACGATTGAAAAAAATATGGGCACACATGTTGTGGGCGGTGCCAGCCCGAGGTGGGCGGAGACAGACAAAAGAGTCTGTAAAACACGGAAGTGGATGGTCAGGAGGGATCACTGTTTGATGCGGCACACAGGCGGAGCGTGCGGCTAGGCGGCGGAGCCAAACGCAGAAATATAGAATGGTTCCATAACAGACTCCAGGCACCGGCAAAGACGAGCAAAAATGTGCAGGAGCTCCGCTATTGAAGCGAGATTTACGCGCCCATTCTGTGCGGAGCTGTGTCGATGTTGTGGGCGGGCGAAGGTCAAAAATTCACGAATTAGTTGCAGAGCAGCATAGGCACCGGGGACAGGTGGATTGAGGTCCACAAGGGGTCAGCGGACGAAGTGGAGGAGACATCTCAAAATGGGCGGGCTGCTTTTGAGATGGGCAGGCTCTTGCTGAAAAATTTCGTGGTTCGCATCTGAGTGAGCTTGGAGATCAGGAAAAACTTTTGGTGAAGAGAAACATATGGCGAGAGTTCAGCATGTCTGTGGTGTGTTGAGACCCGCCCACAGTGGGGGAAGCATGTTCTCAAGCACGGGGTTCCTACTGTTTTAGTGCATAGGCCGCCACACTCTTGAACACCTGTTGTCACAGGTACATTTGATACCAGTCGGTTCGCTGACTGGCTGACGCGACTCCTTTTCTAATAGGGCCAGGCTTTGCCGGTTTTGCTTACTTCGTCGCGCCCACCTGCTTGCGTATGTTTGAATGCTCAACTAACACCCGGTTTCTCTCTCATCTGCGCATTTGATCAACGCTGCTTACTACCACCATTCATAGACGGTAATAGTGTCGAAAATAGTAGGTATGATGTTATTGCTCAAGGACTATGTGTACAGATGAAATAAAAGCGGGATAATTGTTGAGTATCCAGTGTAGAAGGAGGTAAGCGCGGCGAAGCCGCGCCCGCCGGCAGGGCCGTACCACGTAAGGAGGCGCGCCGCCGTTAGCCGGCGAGCCGGCTGGTATAGAGATAAGGCGGTTCTGACACAGTAACCTGAACGGCCCACAATATCAAAATATCTTATTTTTTTATTTCCAGGTCAGTCCTTACACTACGCCGCCTACGCAGTACTGGGCAACCATTTCGTATTATGAATTAAACAGCAGAGTCGGCGAATATTTCAAGGTAAGGAATTCTCTTAAGATCCTTCAAAAAAAGGATCTGAAAAAATGGATGAAAAAGATGAAAAAAGACCCGTCTGCGTCACTCGCATAGGTCTCTGTTGTGTACTGAACGGGTGAGAGAATCTCAAAATACATTGGAGAGACAAAGAGGCCACTCTACAAACGGTTAGATGAACACCGCAGGGCCCTAACAATCCAGCTTCATATCCGGACAACAGTCTCTCAAAGCACCGCACCAAAATGCATGCACACGAAGGTCCTCCCGCACTTACCATTACAGTATTACACCGCTCCATAGAAAATCCGGTGGAAAGAAAGTTATTGGAAGCACTGGAAATAAGAAGGCTCTCCCCAGAAATGAATAGCAAGGATGAGCTACGTGACGCGCTGCAGTTGATTCACTGACTACGTGATAATGGTGGAGCGGTCAGTGATATCATATGCAGAAGCGCTCACTAGGCATCCTCACTATTTAAGCAGGGTAACGGGTAGGGTCACAGTTACCACTAGAAGGCGCGGCATTCGCAAGGAGCAGCGTCGACATACTGGCGGATACTGGAGGTCAGAGTCCAGAAGGCACCACTGAAGATTCAGGATTCCGGTGGAGGTGGCTAACTGTAGTATTTCAGGTCGCTGAAGAAGGTGCTAGGCACCGAAATATTCGAAGAAGAAAGAGTATAAACAATATAAAAATTTTTGTGAAAACTTTTGGATTCTTTTGAATCTTTTGAGTCTTTCGCAATAAATTTTGGCGCCTCTTTTATGTGTTCAACATTCGGGTGAGAGAATCATTTACTCTCTTTGTCCCAGAAATGGAGAAGGTGTGCCTCACTTCATTTGGACATGACATTGGATAGGTTTTTGTCAAGTATTTCCATTCGAGGCAGCCATCGTCCTGTTTTGTGCCAAAAAAAAACGCGTAATTACAATTGTTCCAAAACGCTAATATCCCTTCAAGAGCGTTGCGTCCTCACATCCGAATGAAGTGAGGAGCCGACCTCCTTTTCTTCGGGATATGCAGTGTAACTTACGAAAACAGCGGAATGGGTCCGTCGAACTTACAGAACTGTGAATCTGCACCTATGGGTGCAGCAATTGTTTGATATGGGGAAACCACTCAGAGGCCTTTGTTTTATTGTAGGGCAGCGAGGTACCCCTATTAGAGTCCAAAAGCATCAATCAGAGACTAATTCATTTTAGGTGTACAAAAATGAATTGATAGTGGATGGTTTCACGGATCCTAATTCTGACGAACGTATATGTCTGGGACTCTTGTCGAATGTGAATCGAAATCCTACCATCGAAAACACTCGGCGACATATTGGGAAAGGTATTTTTAAGCTAGTTATGAGATTTGACTCATCTCAAAGGCATTAGTTTTCCTCCTTCATCATTTCATAGAAAAAATAGCAGCAGACCTTCTGTTGGTCGAGGTTTAGACTAGATTGAGCTCAAGCTCAAGAGATTTGGATGATAAGACTATGGAAGTGATCAGCGTTAATCAGTCTAAAAGAATGCTATACATGCTGGTTTCTACGTCTTCAGATGATACGTGTGGAGGTAGTGAGATATGCAAACTGACACGGTCAACTACAAAACAAGCTAGCAATCATGTGAATGGTTTCCAAGCTTTAGTGAGGAAGCGAAACTGTCCTGTTACTGAAGATTTGAACCCTTCTGTTCGTTGTCTGGAGTCAAAAAACAACTGCTGTGCCACCGCCTTTGAAAGAATCAGTGCTGATTGCTTGGAAAAACACTACCCGGAATGAGCTCATCATAATTCGCCATGAAAAGATCTAAAGATTCTACCAGTAATTCCATTTTTTCTGCCACTTTCCACTTTCAGAGGTCTAGAGAGGGAAGTGAAGGACTATGTAGC